GGGCGCGGGCCCCGCTGTGCGCGCTGCACCCCCGCGTTGTGCATGGCACCCCCTGTGCATGGCACCCCCTGTGCATGGCACCCCTGCCCGCCCTGCTGTGCGTGGGGTGTGCTGTGCATGGCACCCCCTGTGCATGGCACCACTGCCTGCCCTGCTGTGCGTGGGGTGTGCTGTGCATGGTACCCCTTGTGCATGGCACCACTGCCTGCCCTGCTGTTCGCGGGCTGCTCTGTGCATGGCAGCCCCTGTGCGTGGCACCCCTGCCCGCCTTGCCGTGCCTGCTCGCCCACCCGCGCTCACACCGCGCCTTCCCGCGCTGCCCCCGGAGCGGTGCCGAGCCCGCCGCGCTCGCTGAGGGGCTTTAGGCCGGGCCCGGCCCGTCCGCCCCGGGGGGAAGCGGTGCCCGTCCGGGGTGCGGAGCCCCCTGGGTGAGCGGGTGAGGGGCTCGCCCGCCCTGGGTCTCCCGCACCCCGCCGCTCCCCGCGCCGCCTCTGCGCTCGCTGGGATTTGCTGTTTGGCCAGCCGCGCATCAGAGTCGCAGGGAAAACCATAGAGTAAGAAACTAAGCGCTGTCCCTCAGGTTGTACAGTTAAAGCCACCACAGTCAATTTGGGTGCTTGTCTCAGGTCTCTACCTGCGATTTGCTCCTTTACAAACTGCTCTAAATGAAGTTGTATTATCTAGATTTCTTTTGCAGCTATGGGTGAACAAAGAATGCACAGCAAATTTTGTCGAGTGCTATTTTTAATACCCTGTTCTCAGGGTTCTGTGCAGACGGTTTCATGCCAGGCAGTACTAATAGAAATTATTGAGCCTCATTTTCTTATGATTTGCTTGTCTTCTTTTGCTAGCAGTGTGGACTTTTTTACTTGTATGACATCCTTTTTTTCTTGTAGCACAAAGCAGTAAATAAATGGGCTGCTGGGGAAGTGAGAGGGGTGTGACAGTAGTAGAAGAGCATTTGGGGGAAAATCAGATTGCTGTCAATATGACAGTCGATCACTCATTTCAGGAAATAAGAAACTCTTGCTCTTGGATAACAGCAGGCTAATGGGTTTTTTTCCAAACACACATATCCTACAGATCTGTGCAGATTTCAACAAAACAAAGAAAACAGTCCATTTCAGAAAAGATGGCAACATCCTATGTCTGTTTTGGGAGTGGAAAAAAGGGGATAGAAAGCAGCAACTGAAAAGGTTAGATGGTTAGAGTTCGGGGTACATAACATTTAAACTGCTGCTGTGCGAGTGGTGATTGAATTTGTATGAGTAAAGGGGATGTCCTTAAAAGCAACAAATAGATTAAAATAACAGCATTGAGGGTAAATCCCTAGAGGACACTAACTGAAAGAAACAGCATGGAGGAGCGATTGCCCACTACTCATCAAACTAAGAGAAACTGTGGAAGGAAATTGAGAAACTTCTACTTTTTTAAATATAAAAGGATCAAAGGCAGAGTGATCTGGAGAACTGTACAGATGATGTAATGGTCCTAAAATTTACTAGAAATTTATTTTACCTCTAAGGACTTCAAGTTCATTGGCATCCCAGAGGTGAAATATCAGTGTCATTTGGGGCAAAACTGAGCAAAAGTCCCTGTTATATCCATAGCAAGTATAAAAAATCCAAATAGTTCTCCCTGTGGAGCCCTTTTGAGAATCAGGATGTAAGTTAATTGTTTTGTAGCTGGTTAGTAACTTAACAGTGCTAAGATACCTCAGAACATTTGAAGCATCTTTGGCAATAAAACCTTTTTGTATGCATTTGTGATCCTTGCCCTGATATTAGCTCTTGATGTACAGCAAAAGGCATGGGATTTTTCCTTCCTTTTTGAAATAGCAGAAACAATGCAGGCTCTGACATTCATTCAGGAGCTGTACAACCTTTCTTCCTGCCATTTTCTTCATGTGACTTCTAAACAGTATTTTGTGAGCTAACTCCCAACTTCTGTATCTACTGTGTCAGAATTCAGTAAAAACCTCTGGGTCATAATCTCAGTTTGTTTAAATTCTACTGGATTTGACCTTGAGTCAGTGTAAGCTTGTGTACATCCATTCACTTCAGTAGCACTTCAGTGTTCAGCCTCTGCAATAAGTAACTTGTCTGCTTGTAATTCTCATAAGACCCATTTTCTTAAAAGATGCATCAAAACCAGTGACTAAAGACAGTGCAGAAAGAACATTATAACATTAAGGCTTAATTTTCTGGAGTGAGTCTGAAACCTTGAATAGTAAAAACTTGCAAAAACTACTTGCTTTCTAGTTACTTAATTTTGATTGCTTTTTGTTCTGAAGAATCCATGCGGTCCTTTATCATGCCAGAATGCAATGTGATGGTTTTAAATAGTTGCATAACCTTACAAGCTAACTGAAAGATTGAAAGTGCATTTAAAGTATACTGTGTCTCAAAGTCTTTCTGTAAAGCACATGACTGGTGTCCACGTGAAAGTAAGGAGTTTGCTTCGACAGTAACCTGCATTTCCCAGTCACAGAGCCAGGGCTGTGTCAGGAGCATTGTTGTGCTCATTGCTGGACCAGCACACACTCACACAGCCTGGCAGGTACCAGAGATAGTCCTCCCTGGGGAAGGCTGTGGTGGCGAGGGTGTGGGATACTCAGCATTGCCTGGGTGTGGGATACTCAGCATTGCCTGGGTGTGGGATACTCAGCACTGCCAGTGTGTAGCACGTGCTGGCTCTCAGAAGCACAGAAGGCTTCAGCTTCAAAACTAATAATTTGATTTTTTTCAGCTGCAATATATTGTTTCTCAGAATATTGTCTGAAACAATCATCATTCTCGAATCCCAGAATAGCAGTTTTATGCAGCAATAAAAGCACACTTCTTTTTCTCTCATTTTAGGATTCAGGGTTACGATTCCACTATGTGGCTGCTGGAGAAAGGGGTAAACCACTGATGCTGCTACTTCATGGCTTTCCAGAATTCTGGTAAAACTCCCTACATGCTTTTCTTATATAAAAGAGGCTGCATAAGATACCCAAGAGCGAACATCTCAACCTAAATATCCCCAGTGTGATCCATTATATATGTTTATGAGTACTAATGGCATGAAGTTTTAGTAGGCAACAAACCATGGAAACATTTTTTTAACTACAGCATCCACAAAAAATTCCTGCAGACTAGCACAAACCAACCATCTTTTTTGCATTTTCAATTCACTTTTCCCCAGGTATGTACCCTTTTCTTCAAACTTTGGGGAGGAACTGCTCATTTTTAACAAATTTCCTCTTTGGATAGCACTTGTACTACATGGATAAACATGAATTATTACAGAGGGTATTAAAATAAGGATAAGCAATATGGATTGCTCCGTTTATTAAAAATACTATACCTTAATTTTTAACTGAGGAAGGTGAAGAAGAACTATGAGTTCTATAGGCTATTGTGCAGCCTAATTTCAGAATGCTACTCAGGGAAAAAGATTCTATTATTAGTTCATCACAAGATGAATGATGAATCAAACACAATCCTAAATGTTTGTTTATAACAGTGAAAAGCAGTCATGTGTCTAATGATTTAACCAAAGGCTGTCATTGTCAGGTTTAACTAATGAAGCATGGCTTACAGACCTTGCTACCAAAAAACCAGTAAGGGAATAAAGGAAGTGCTAATGCCAGTAGTTCAGCAAGTTAAAGGATCTTTTTTCCTTCCTAAACTCAGGTACGGAGCTAGGGTCCACTGTTGCAACTGTCATCTTTCAATGTGGACTAAGGTCATACCATGACAAACTGACCCAGGTAAAACAAAGGTCAGTTCTCTTCCCTTAGCAGCAATTTCCCATAGATACTAATGGCCTTGAGGATGATGGTAGAGAGTCATGTTTAAGGTAAATTTTCAAAGAAGGAGATTGTTCTAATAGTAAACTGCTATCTAAAATTATTAAAATTGCAAACTTTGATTGAAAAGACTGTTAGATGGAGCAGTGCATATTCTATGCAAACATTATGCATACCTTGCATAAAGCATATTCTAACACAGGCAATGAGAGTGCAGCTGATTTCCCCTACAGGGGGAATGGAAAAATTAGCAGTTTACATACATATTCTACTGAGATCAAGTATATTACTTTTAAAAGGCAGATAGCCGTTCTTACAGTTTAGAATGGTGAGTCATGCTATAAGTGATGGCTAATATATTGTATTATCTGACCATTCAAAAATGATGAATAAAAAACCTGTTATACAGGTCACTGGGACCACCAGTAGCATAGTTCATATCACTGTTTTTTAAAAAGAAGACTACATGCTATGCTAATAGTCTGTAAAACAGTTATGCTACCAGTACTCAGGTTGGGTTGTTCATTCAATCAGCAAAGATTTTTTTATGCAGGAATAGCGATTGTTCTGAGAGCACAAGATAAAATAACCACAATTTAAGAGAGATTTAAAGCAGCATCAAATTTGTACTGTTTGTCTAGGAAAATAAAATGGATCTGATCCACAGTCAGAGTTCTTAATTGTAACAAATCCTCTGCCTTCAAATGTCTCAAGGTTATAAATAGGACAAATATAACCAAACAGTACTGACCATAGTGAGTGACAGAGAATGTCTGAACATGAAAGATCACTTAAGAATATAATGCACCAGAGCCACTAAGTGCTTTAGGTGTATAAGAACTTGAAAATCAATACCGATGTTGTGGAAAGACAATAATAAAATATTTGAAATTGGGCATAATGTGTTGAGACAGCTGGCTACCTATAAGATTTGTGTATGAGCTGCTAAATTTTGTGCAACTTGCCTTTTAGAGAGAAAGGGATCAAAAAGTCTCAAAATAGTTTCTATGATTGAACCTTATGAACGTAGAAGCATTCACAACATTTCCAAATTCTGTTTGCAAAGCAGTTGTCCAATAGTTACATATCATATGTGGTAAAAGGATTTCTTCAAATATAAAACCTACCCATTTGGTAGGTCAGACATTTGGTGATTGATGGACTGTTGTGAAAACAGAAGATGAGGACAGCTCATAGACATCTTCTGAAAACAAAAATAGTTAATTTATTTATTTATGGGACTGGTTCTTTCTTCTTACTGAAGTACATAGAAAAGCTGCAACAGTTACCATGGCAAATTCAGCTTCCAAGTTGTTATATAATGCCTTTAAAAGATTCATTCCTGGAGATCTCAGCTAAACCTTATCTTTGCATTATATGGCACTGAAATGAAAATGTTTGACTGTTTTGATTATATGAATACAGATTCATATCATTGAGTGTACCTGTAATATTACTTAATATTACTAATAGGCTGAAGGCAAAGATCAAGTAGAAGAGCCAATGGTCTGATATAAACACTATTTGGATTAAGGTAGAATTCTGTGCATCACTGCTACGACCACTGATGATCCAAATGTTCTATATCCTTTATCTGAGACTGTTGAAACAAGCAGAAATAAAAGCTACCACAGCGGGATACAGCCACTATTAAATATTCTGGGAAGGATTCATGTATCTCTCTATTACAGTGTAATATAAGGCCATGTGTGTCTTGGTACTAGCTATTCTGAAATTCATCTGGTTTCAGTAACAGCTGAAGGGCAAATAGTTCTTGCGGGATGAGACCCACCATTTTCTTGTTATTCTTGCTTCATAACACACATCTAATCACTACATACTGTTACAGAATGAGGACCAGCCCAGGCCTTTGCCCAAGTTCTTAATTTTGTATGTCTTTTGATGTGTGTAATGTTATCACTCTTTTCCATAGAAACACAAGGAATGAAATATTTTGTATAGCACCAACACATTGAGACAGCTTGTTCTGGAACAGTTCTGGTATTAAAGAGACACAGATGAAATATAAATCCCACAAACTTTACCAAATTCATTTGTTATTAATTTAATTTCTTTCTTCGGGTTATTTAGTGTATGAATAATCTAACACTGTTTTTCTGAATAAAAAAAAAAATCAACCATGCCTTGAGGCATGTTTCCCTGCTCCATCAAAATGTGTGTGTCAGTAAGTCAGGAAGAAGAGACAGCTTTTCAGACTTTATATTTTGTTGATACTGTGGCTCCAAGGATAACACAGAATAGTCCTCTCTGTGCTCTGGTTTATGCCTCCTTCCTTTGCTGCAAAGGGACTGTACCAGACTCCAGGAATTGTTGAAACACCCCAGCTCTGGCCATGCCCCCTTTCTGGCAGTTGCACTTCCTTACTGGCAAATTCAAGAAGGGAACAGAAAACTACTGCAGCCACAAAGGACCATCAGCATAGCACAGAAAGGAAAAGGAATCTCATTGCAAAGAAAGCCATGCTAATTTACCCTCATTATTTGGGTGCAAAAGCATTGAGTGCATTTTGATATCATACTGCTTGACCTTATAACTCCAACTTTTTTTCCTCTTTGTTAGGTATTCTTGGCGCCATCAGTTGCGGGAATTTAAAAGTGAATATCGAGTGGTGGCCCTGGATTTGAGAGGTTATGGAGAAACAGATGCTCCTTCTCACAAAGAAAGTTACAAGTTAGATTGCCTGATAGCAGACATAAAGGACATCTTGGAATCTCTAGGTGCGTTAGTAGAAGACAACCTACTTGACTCGTAGATTACTTGATTTTCTAGCGAGAAAAACCCATAAAGATCTAGGACTGTTTTTTCTTAAACTGCAGTCTTTTTAATATATACACATCACAGATACATATAGGTATAAATCTAAGGATACTTGTATTTTATGGATTATTATAAATGAAAAAGGGTTGTTTTCTAATTATGATGTGTATGTCAGTATAAACAACAGGTAAAGATGATTTTTCCATCATGAGTTTAAAAAAAAATCTTTCCTATGTGCTATGAAATTCAGCAGTTCAAACCTCTGGTCTTTATCCCTAAGAAAGTCTCTGCTCCTTGCACTTAGAGGATAATGTTTTGAATTAGCACTTCCAGAACAAAGAATTTAAGCCAGGTGACATTTTTCTTGCAGAAACAAGACAGAGTAAATATTGTGGGCTTTATAGAAATGATGAGAGTACATCTGCTGTATTAAAAAAAACCCAAAGAACTCTCCCAAAATACTACTCCTGCGCAGTAGTCAGTTCTCCAGAGCTGAATCACTCTGTCTTACACAACAGAGAGAAGAGAAGAACAGAAGGGAGAACAAGGGACACGCAAATACCCAGTGTAATGGTCTAGAGCCGAAGTGAGCCTGCAAAATTTGCCCCTCCAGTTCAGTTTGAAGTGTCGCTGTTTGGGCGATAAATTGTAACACCTGGTGAAGGGTATTTCCTACCAATAGCAACACAAGGGATTAGATTGTCATTCTCTGAGTCATTTAAATTCCCTGGATACTCCAGTGATGGTGAAATCACTTATTTCATCTCATATGAAGCAATAGTAAAGCAGTGATTCCAGTTCTGAGGTTTGAATTTAGAATTTGCTTTGCTTGTGATGTTTGAGCCTTGTCAAAAGATTGGGCGGGCAGTCCCCACACTGTGTTTACATTTTCCAGCCTTTGCTGGGTTTGTTAATCTCCACGGTAATGCTGTGGTCATGCTTGAGAAGTGCTCTCAGCATAATTCAATTTCATAGGGATTTAAAATTTTTTGGATAAAGTATTTCAGAGGCTTGTTATCTTTGTTCTAACCCTAAGTTAAATTCTTTTGGAGAACTTGATTATATCAAAAGTGCTTCAAAAGATTTATATTCAAGAGGGTTTATAAGGTGCTTTGACAACTCTGTCCAAATTTATGTCAGAATTCTAGAAATCTTGGCTTTTATATGTTTCATTTGCAGTGTATGTGCTCAGTGTTCCAATCCTCAGTGAGGAGGGTGGTGGTATCTGACAGTACAGTGTGTGTTCCAGCAGTGCTTAAAGAAGGAATAGTTAGACTTTCAAAAACTCAGTCGTTATCCCACATGACTCTTTTATTGCTGTTAAATACCATTTTTGTTGATGGAAGAATAAGTATGTGAATGTCAACAACTTTAAAAATTGCCAACACATCAGCTTATGGAGAAAAGCTGTGGGCCTACTAAGTATATATATAGGTGTGCATATGTATGCTGTGTATATGGCTAGGAAGTATAATGCCCACTTTTTGCATAATGATGGTGTTGAGTGCTTAGATAACCTCCCATATTCAGAGAAATTCATGAGGATTAGTTTTGTTCAGGAGGGTCTTAGCAGATTGCTCCATCTTTTTGTCTGCAGTTTCAAACTCCAAACTCTCTAAACATGACAAATGTACATGCATTATAATGACTGCAAGTTGAACTGTCTGTCTGACCCTGTACTGGCCAAGATGTAAACAGGGTGGCAGTCTGCATACTGAGTGACTTTAGGTTGACATGGAGGTAGTACAGTTAAAGTTTAATGAAGTCTAATTAAACAATTTTAAATATTTTTACATTTTTAAAGTATACCAGTGGACTATTTTTTCTGACCATTAGTAATGGAAGCAGGGCAGTACTGAAGTTACATTAATAAATGTGCTGAACCACCTATTTTGTGCAATTATGAAATCATTATTGTATGTGATAATTTCTATGGATACTAATTCCATTGAAATCAAAGCATGTATCTGTGTTTATGTGGTAGGATACAACAAGTGTGTGTTGATTGGCCATGACTGGGGAGGAATGATCGCTTGGTTAGTGGCTATTTGTTACCCTGAAATGGTGACTAAGCTCATTGTGGTTAATTTCCCTCATCCTTCTGTATTTACAGGTGAGTTTTACAGTAGTCTTTGCAAAGTATCTGCGCTTCCATTATGATTGTGTTTGCTTTGAGAACCAACTACCTGCCCCATTAGATGTTCAGTAGATAAGCTGCCAGTACTCCATGCTTCTCACAATCTGGGCTGTATTTTATGAAGTATCATTTTATAATGTATTTTATCAAGTATCTGACTTTTGGAAATAAATTTATTGTAGGAAGTTGGGAGTGCTTGCAACAAAATTTACTGATTTTTTTTAGTAAACCTTGAAGGTCCACAAACATAATTTTCATAGACATGAATCTGTTTTGTTCCACTTAGGCAGGATAAAATTCTCTGAAGAGGAGTGTGTATTGTGTTACACTTTGGTTAAGGCCTCACTGCGTTATTAAATCTGCATAAACCAGCCTTTGTATAAATGTGACTCAGACATTAGAATTAAATCCCAATTTAGGTGACAAGCAATAATTTATGATCTGGTACAATATTCATCAGAAGACAACAGCCTTCCAGGCTACTTACTAGATGCTACTATACCAGTACTAGTACTCTTACTAGATGTACTAGTACTGAGCTGAAACAAGGACTGAGGTGCACTAGCAGAACTTGTTGTGTGATAGACTTTGTCTACTACCCAGAATTACAAAACATTTCATAGGGATTATATCGACATTCCATAATGAAAATGAAAGTAGTATCTCCCTAATTTCAATTTTTTCAATTGCTGGCCTTACCCATTTCCATTTAACAAATCACCTCATTTCCCTAGAAATAGCTAAGAATATTCAGCGCAGCTTTAATTTTCATTTCAGTTGAATATAAATCAGACTTTACACCACTGTAGAATCAGAACCATCCACATATGTTGTTCTCACAGTGGTTTTGGGTACCTTTCTAAGATACTAAAGAACATTTTGTCAGGTAGTAAAGCCACACTTACCCCAGGAGAGGTCTGTTCATCACATGAGGAAGTAGGAGCTTTTTGCAGTATTTTCACTGACAGTAGGAACCAGGCTGTGGAGACAATTACATTTTATTACAGTATTTGTTTGCATATTTGTTGAAGTACAAAATCTGCTCTGTAGCTTGATAAATTCTCCCTAGATCAAATTTGTTCTACTGTGGGTTAAATGAAAATACACAGTTTATAAACAGTGGAGAAAAGTAAAGTTAGCAGTGATGGTCTAGCAAGAAAAATATAATGGGTAATGCAATTTAAGAATGTGTAAGATATGAATGTTTAGAAGATAGTTGACACTTCAATTTACATTGGTTTAAACACCATTTTTATTCATTGTCAGAATTAATATTTCAGAGATACCTCCTATGTTGGGAATGCAGTTTTACCTTCCTGAATTTGGACCTGTAAAGGATAAGTTCTAGAATTCCTAGTACCCGTACACATTGTGTGCTTGCTTTGAGGAAGTTAGATATTTGAATGTCAGTGTTGGCTCTTGCAACTCACTGAAGATACAAATTTACAATTTTTAAAAGAGTTAATGCATGTCTGTATCATTTTCTTTTGTTATATATGCTCCAGTGTCTTTTAAAATTACTTTTAAAAATCTTTAAAAAGTTACTCTATATAACCTTGATTACGGTTCTTGAAATTGCCAAGTAGACAACTGCTAGAAAAAATCTGTACTTCTGTGAACAAGAGTGATGCAGTCTTTAGAATGTCAGTGGATCATCATCTACAGATTTCTGTGCATCACATCATTGATGAGAGAAATACCTAAATATTTTTATTTATGCCCTTTATTCCACATCTGTGAAAAAAATGCTTTGGACTAGCTGCACACATAGATCTCTAAGTGAAAACCTATAATTTGATTAAACTCCCCAGTGTTGCTGTCCTCACTTAATCTTTGGCAAACTTTTGTTTTGCTGCCTGTTTATATTAACATTTATAAAAGAACTATGTTTTAATGGCCACACCATATATTTACTCCTGAAACAATAATCATCTTTTGTCACATAGCATGCTTTAATGTAATATTTTTAAAACATTCCTTTAAGTTTAAAAAATAGTAGTATTAACAGTAATTTTGTTTGAGTCATCAGTTTTCATTTTTAATTCATGGGCATTTTTGTTTCAGAATACATTCTACGACATCCATCACAATTGATTAAATCTGGTTACTACTTCTTTTTCCAAATGCCATGGTTTCCTGAATTCATGTTTACACTAAATGATTTCAAGGTGAGCAAAATGAATGCTCTTGTTTATATATTTAACAGTGAGTAATAGAATTGCCACCTACATTGATCCCTTCTGATGTAGTTCTAATTACTGGAAAAAAATATGGAGCTTTCTGATTTTTCTTCTTAAGCTTTATATAAAGTAGGACATAAGTACATAGAGTTACTGAGATTAACTCTTGCACTTCTGGGAGGTGTTCAGGCACACAGTTTTAACCTCCAGCACTGCAGTGCATTACTCCACCTAGAGAGTCAGCTGGTTTTACTTGTGCCCATAACACTGGGACATAGTTGGTGCCTGTGGAACTCCTGCTGACTTATCTGAAGCTCCCATGGGCAGTGGGACATTCTCTTACCTCTTAGAGCCTGCTGCAGGGCAGGTAGACTGAGAGTCTGGCCATCACATTCAGCCAGGTGACTAATTCTGCCTGAGGAACCAGGGCCAGCACTTTGTGTAACCTTAAAAACCAAGTGCAAGCACATAGAAAGGGACAAAGCAGCTGCAGGCCTACACCCTCCTACATGCAAACAGCCCAGTGCAGAGCTCCCAGTGCTGCAGGCACACAGGGCACAGCCAGCTGAGGAGGTCATGAATCATCCTCCCTCCAGCCCTGTCACCTACTGGGGTCCATCCCAAAAAAAAAAGTATTTGCCTGCACTTGCCTTTGCCTTTCATACATGGCCAGTCAGGATGCAGAACTCAGTGACTGGGTAATATTGGCATTTGTCTGTACTTGATTATTCTGAAGTAAGTTACACTAGAAATAAGTTAACCATGTGCTTTACACATAGCTCTCTAAAAAAACATTTGAACCCTTCGTTGTATGTTCTCTCCCCCTGTCCAGTCACAGAAGGGAGTGATAGAGTGGTTTTGGTGGGTACCTGGCATCCAGACAGGGTCAACCCACTACAGCTCTGAACATAAACAGATTTATAAATATATATAAGTAGAATTTAGAAAGATAAGTCCTGTTGAAGGAGAGAAAACATATTTTCTAGCTATCTTAGGTAACAGTTTTTTATTCTTCCTTTTGTAGGTTCTGAAAAGTTTATTTACCAGCCAGGCCACTGGAATTGGAAGGAAAGGCTGCAGATTAACAGCAGAAGATATCGAAGCTTATCTGTATGTCTTTTCACAACCTGGAGCACTAACAGGCCCCATTAACCATTACAGGACTATTTTCAGGTCAGTATAACGTTCTCAAACAGAGGAAAATATTTCAGAGTCCCCTGGAGCCCAAAAATGTTACTGTGGCTCCTGCTGCTGAGGCAGAGGGGGAGAACGGCAGCTCTGTTTCCGAAGCCTCCCCAGGTGCTGGGTGCAGGCAGGGTAAGGTAGGTGAGGACTTGTGTGTCCTGTGTCGTGTCCATACAAAACAGCAAAACAACCAGAGTGCAGATAAGGAAAATTTTTGTTTCAAAATCTAATGAAGTGAAGGCCCTCCCTCATACACAGCACCCATGGCAATTCCATAAATCTACCTCTAAATAACACTTAAAAATTACCATCAATTAATTGTTTGCATTACAATTCATATTAAGTAATTATAATATCTATCAAGAGCTTACTGTTAGATAATACTACTAGATAATACGGCATCCAAGTTCGTGACCCTCACTTGTAACTTTACAAAACTACATCTGACACCCCTTTTTACCGACCAAAAACATGGTCAGAAGGGTTTTAACTCTGTATACTCTACTTATAGAGCTAACCTGAAGGACTGTATCAAGAAGAGTGGTGTTGAACTTGTTTTTCCTTTACTGTCCAGTCTTCAGCAGTGATAAACATCCTGCATGCTTCTCTAACACAAGACCAACTTCTCAATATTCTTTAAAATGAACATTCCCTTCTTTCCCTAAACTCAGGTAGTAGATGTTCAAAGTAGATTAATTTTTCATTTCCCCTGATCCAAATTTAGTACCACCTTTACTGCTTTCTGTGCCATCCATGCTGTCACTGTCAGGAGAGCAATCAGCAGGGAAATACTGCGAGGAAAACAAGGATCCGAGCTAGTTCCTGTCTTGTACAGGCTAAGAGACAAAACTGGAAGGAGAAAGTGGAAAGCCAACACCAAGCACGGATGACAGTGGGCAATAAATGAGATGGCCCCGCTGGAAACAGCACACTTAGTTAAAGCTACGCAGAGAGCAGTCGATGACATCAGCTGGGCTGTCCAAGGGCGCTGGAGCTGTGTGGCTGCACAGCCGCTCCCGGCCCGGCAGCTGCTCTGCAGGAGCCCCGGGGAAGGGCTAATGAGGAGCTGGAGAGGCGCGAGTGCCCGGAGCCCTGTTCGTTACGCTGGGCACAGCACCTCGCATCACTGAGTGTGCACATTAACCAGATGCTCCTCTGACAGCAACAGTGACATGCCTGTGATAGCTGAATGGCTGTGGGACTCAGATGAAACAAATCTTCGATATGTGTAAACTATTTCAGGCCTTTTCAGGCTCAAAAAAAGTCTAGTATCAGTTATTAATCAGAAAGTATCTTCAGAGCTGTTAATTCCTCTGTGTGTTTTGTGTGTATGTTTGTGCAGTGTTCGCTTTATTTTTCTAATGAAAGTATACCTGTAAGGAATTCAGAGAATTTTATTTTAGCTGCTGTCAGCCACGATGCAGAAGGCTTGGGACTGGAAAGAAAAGATTAGTCTTCAGCTCATTCAGTTCTTGCCACCAGTTCTGATGGTCACACCTTACAGGATGTGAATTCTTAAATACTAAAACTGGATTGAAATTTTCCCTTTCTCTCATATGAGTTGTTAAGCAGCACTTGGATGCTAATGACTTGTATTCACCACAACTCCCAGTGGGCTGGTACTGGTGACCTACATGTTAAAGGTTACCAACTCATTACTATCCATTTAGAGTTTCATTCTTCAGAGCTTGATTTTTCTGGAAAATTATTTCCAAATAGATGATTGAAATAACCTACTTCCATCCTTCACCAACACATCCTTTTATAAATAGCACAGCAGCCATTCCCCTCACTATACTCTAGATTCAAACACTTTGAGAATAAAAATCATAAAGCTTTTCTGTCATGCTTGGTTAAGAGAGATAGGTACAGAGCTGGAGCTTGAATTTCTTCTGATATGTTACATTTTTAGAACATGGCATTAGTTCTCTTATAGCAGTTAAGAAGTACTTCACTATTTTTTTACAGAAAAGCTGTATAACAATGCTGTATGAAGGTTTGAGTCTGTTTTTCAAAGACTTTAACACTTAAGGAGTGGAACTTCTTTCTAAATGTGATATCCACGTGTTAATTGTTATTAAAGGCAATTTCTAGAAATTTCAGGCATAATACAATTTCCCATATTCCAGACTAAAAAGACATACAGTGTAGCTCATAGGCAGTGAAAAATGACAGGTTGTTTATGTATGCAGCATGTGTAAAAAGCCTGGTAGATTTTTTATCTACGTAAGTCAGGCTACAAGTCTTGCAAGGCACAAAATAGGAAACCCTACAGTAGTGAAAACACCACACGTAAATAGTGAAGAGATCCAGGATATTGGATTTTAAAGGTAAAAAGGTTAGTCTAAAAGCACTGAATGAGATCATCAGATTATCAGTTTTTAAAACTGGTACTATGAATGAGCTATCGTTCAGTGGCTGAGGTCAGGGTGTTTGCAAAATGAGCTTTAAATTTACTGGTAAAAGAGGCATTTTAAGAGTTTTCCTAATTCATCAATCAAAATGAAATTAAATTATCACTGAAAGTGATCTTTCATTAACATTTTTTGACATAATGTGTAAGTAGAGGAAGAACGTCTTCAAAGCCTCCATTTCTTTGTCTTATTTTAAACTAATGCATGTCATATCTTCTTTGTCTTTTCCTCTTTACAGAGCATAATCTCTTAACTAACTACTAAGGTTAAAACTAGTACTTAAGTATGTCATAAAAGTTTGTTCAGAAAATCTCTTTTATACATTACTGGTTTAAAATATTCTTATTTGTGCATTAATATAACAAAGATTTGTATCTGATCAGTTCGAGTCTGTTTTGAATTGTCACAGTCTGTTACTATATGTGACTAAGCAATTCAATCTTAGATAAATTTTTCAGCATCTCTGAAACAGATGTGCTGGAATAAACTTGGGTGGGTTAATGGTGAAATAGTCTTTACTTTCTAGTTACTTGCATCTTTCTTAATACGTGTAATATAAGGTAATATTTATTAAATATTCAATTCTAAATAATTGTATTTAAAAAATAATCTTTTTACTGAAAGTTTAAGTAGGTCATTGTGATAGTATCATGTTTATTAAAATTTTACTTTCTAAGGGCTTTTCTTCAAAATGTTCTTCAAATATAATGTATTTATCCTTAAACACTTTCTAGTCTGACAAAACTCTGGGTTGTGATGTTGCAGTTTTAGAGAGATTCTGACTTCATGAAAAGTAAATCTTTAAGAAACAGTTTTCCTTCACTGCATGTAAAAGATGTAGGTATGTAAGTCCTAGGCCTTCAAAAAACACTGTGGTGCTTTGTAAAGGGAACTCTGACACATTTTGAATGTTGCATGAATTTCATAGAGTGAATGTAACTGAATTCAGTTCAGCATTTCAGACATCAATGTTCTATAGAACATCTTTTTCTACAAATATTTTTATTTTCAGCTGTACTCCATGATATTTAATTTTTAATAGGTCTGAAACACTCTAGCTGGTATCTTCCATAATGTCCAGCAATGGCAGCCTGCCATTTGCTGGGCACATATTTTTCAGTAGGGTAGTTTGGCTGTTGTGCAGTAAATAATGCAGGTTCAGAAATTTGCCATTCATCAACCAAGGGAAAGCAAGTGACCTACAGAATTCTGGCCGTGTTGTTCCACATTCCCTTTTACAGAGGTCATGGGGCTCCTGAGCTGTGCTGAAGCATCTTTCATGTTCCAAAAATGAGACCTCTGTTGCAATCAACTGCTGATTAGAGTAAAAGTACTGTAACTGCTGTTACAGTAAAAGTACCTTCTAACAATTTCACCATCCTTAAAACAACTAAAGAATTTTAAGTCACAATGTTTTCTTGGTATTGTAGGAGATATCTTGAAACTTAGAAAGTCTGCAATGAGATTCACTGCATTGATTTCAAAAGCTATGTTGACTAAAACATGTCATAATAATTTTTTGTTAAAATAAGACCTAACTAGGTGTGTTTTATTTTTAAAGCTGCCTACCTCTGCAGCACCATGAAGTCATCATGCCAACCCTGCTGTTATGGGGAGAAAGAGATGCGTTTATGGAAGTTGAGATGGCAGAAATTACAAGGATTTATGTTAAAAATCATTTCAGATTAACTATTTTGTCTGAAGCCAGTCATTGGCTCCAGCAGGATCAACCTGACATAGTGAACAAGTTGATATGGACCTTTCTTAAGGAAGAGACAAAAAGAAAAAGAGAATGACTGTACATGTTTTAAGAGGTCTACGTAAAAGCTCTTCAGATTTAAAACCTAATTGTTATCAGGGCCATATTTCCAGCCTGCCTTCTATTTTGAGCTCTGTTAGAGAAAAGTGTTTTCATTGTACTGTATATTTGGACACTAATGTTACAGCTAAAAGAAGTGAATTTGAGAATATATGATACCAACATTGGTTTTACCTGTATACTTGTATTTTGCACATAAAAACACCTGCCTTAAGATACATATGTATTTGTACAGAAAGAAAATCATGGAAAGTTGCTTGGTTTTGTTTTCTCTCTTGCTTTACGGTTTTAATGTGTGGTGCCTTTTACAAATTTATAATGAAACAATGGAGTGGTGCCATACTGAAGAAAGTCACGAGTTTTCATTCTAGATTTGCCTGAATTTTTTTAATGTATTTTACCATTAAACAGTAACTAACTCTTTTTATCTATATTTTAGCATACTGAACGATTGAAAATTTTCTGGGGTACGTTTCTAGTCTTTAAGTGAATAATGATACGTATCTTGTTGTATTGTTGAATGCAGCTGCTTTGTGCAATGTGTTTTTCTTTCTTGACTAAAAAATGGGAAATCTGTACACTCAACATGTCTGAACAAGAAAAATGGAAAATTAAGATATAACATGTATCAAATCCACCTCTGTCTAATAAAATGCACTTACACAACTCTCTTTATCTGACTTCCTGTGGAGAGATTTCTTGCTGAAGCTTAGACCTGGGTTTGAACAGCTGAAGTGTCTGTCCAGTGTGCAGCCTGGACACCCATGCTATGATTGCTGTAGTTTCTTGAAAATAATGCCTCATTGTTGGCATTATCCTTCTTGTGTCAGCAACTACTGTTCTTGTCTCCAAGAACTGCTGCCCAGCCCCTGTGTTTATAAGGACGAAGAGACACAGTCATTACGGAAACAGAGGGTAGAATTAACTTGCGTGTGATGGCAGGAGGGAAGAAAACTGGACGTTAACTACAAAGGAAAAAGAAGCACAAAATATGAGACCACAGAATCGGTGAGTCACCTGCCTGTTGGGTTTCCAAAGCCTCTTCCCTGCTCGATGTGACCCTGCCAGGAAGGACCAAGCTGTGCTGTCTGCCCAGTGTCAGCTCGTGGCTGGCAACCTGCTCCCTCTCGGCCACTTCACCAAACCCCAGAGGAGCTCCTCAGGATCACGACAGTGGTATCCATCTTGCCTCTTCCATCCTCGCTTGGTACCTGCCTTCAAGCCTTTTTCCCTGAGTATTTTCAGCACTTATCAACTTAAGATGGTTTCGCGCTTCTTCCACTTACACTCTGAGGTTGGAAAGGTTCTCCCTTGCCTCAGGAGGGCGGCACAGAGAGACTTCTACCGCCTGAGCAGCAGTTTATTTCTTTGGCAAGGCAGCCGCTGATGGGGAGTACGGATTTTCCTGCAGAGCACCATCTGGCTGAGGGCTGCGGCCCGCAGGCTGCTGCCCCTTCCCCGCGGGAGCTGCAGCAGGGGACGGGGCGCGGGCGGCCCCGAACGCCAGACCCGAGAGGAGCTCTCCGCGCGCGGGAGGGGCGCGGCGGGGCCGGGCCGGCGCGGCGGGGCAGCGTCTCGGAGGCCGCCGTGGCATTAAAAAATTTTCC